TACGGCTAACTACAGCTAGCCTGCACGATTGGGCGTCAGTTCTAGCGAAGGCTCATCACCACACCGAGTATGCCGCTTTCATTGCTGCTGCTGCTGCTGCTGCTTCTGTGATTGCTGCTGCTGCTGCTGCTGCTGCTGCTGCTGCTTCTGTGATTGCTGCTGCTGCTGCTGCTGCTGCCGTGAAGCAGCAGCAGCAGCTGGTGATACAGCAGCTGCATACGACAGAGTAAGAACGAAGGAGACAAGAAGAAAGGAGACAAAGAAACAAAAAAAGCAGAGATAAAGAGACAGACAGAGAAGGAGACACAAAAAAGGAGACAGATAAAGCAAGAGACACATAAAGGGGAGACAGACAAAGAAGGAGACAGAAAAAAAAAGGAGACAGTTTAAAAAAAGGAGACAGATAAAAAGGAGACAGATAAAAAGGAGACAGCAAGACAGAGACAGAGACAGCGAGAGAGACAGATACAGATACACAAACAGAGACAGACAGAAATATAGATACCCTTGCTCTATAAGCTAACATTAGGGGCCCCCTTAGGGGGCCCCCTGATTGGGGGCCCCCCTGGGGGCCCCCTGATTGGGGGCCCCCTTGGGGGCCCCCTGTAAACCACTGTGCTATGAAATCCCTAATTAAATATTTCTTAGTTTAGGGCCCCCAGTTCTATTGGGGGCCCCTAGGGGGGCCCCCCCCTCAGGGCCCCCAGTAAAGTAGAGGGGCCCCCAGCTAAGTAAAAGGACCCTAGTTAGGGGCCCCTACGCGGGAGGCCCCTTTGGGGGCCCCCCTTGGTGAGGGCCCTAGGGGGGCCCCCCTTGGTGGGGGCCCTAGGGGGGCCCGCATTGGTGGGGGCCCAGGGGGTTCCCCTTTGGGGGCCCCCATTGGTGGGGGCNTGGTGGGGGCACTGGGGGGGCCCCCCTTTGGGGGGCCCCCACTGGTGGGGGCCCTAGGGGGGCCCCCCTTTGGGGCCCCCCAGTAAAGGTAAAGGAAAATAACTAAGGAAGGGGCCCCTAGTTGGGGGCCCCTTTGTTTAGGGCCCTTAGTTAAGTGGGGGGCCTCTGGTGGTATTTTATTATATTTAGATTATATTTATATAATTAATATAATTAATTATATTAATTATATTTAATATATTTAATATTATATTAATATAACTAATATATTATATTCGTATGAAGCCAGGTGAAGGGGGGCCCCCAGTTAAGGTGGGGGCCCCCAGCTGAGTTGGGGGCCCCCAGTTGGGGGCCCCCAGTTGGGGGCCCCCTAATTAAGAAAGCTAAGTGGAGGAGCAAACCCTAAACCCTAAACCCTAGCGGTGGGGCCCCTAGAATACAAGCAGGGGGCCCCTGAGGTGTATATACAGCTAAAAGGGTTTAGGGTTTAGGGTTTAGGGTTTAGGGTTTAGTACTTCGAGGCATCAACCGTAGCAGCTAGCTTGGCTTTTAGTAAACCCTTGGCGAAGCGAGACCTGCACACAACACAAACCCTAAACCCTAAACCCTAAACCCTAAACCCTCAAAAAAAAGAAATGCTTGTAGAAATGAAACAAATCTAGGGTTTAGGGTTTAGGGTTTAGGGTTTAGCGCACTTGCAGACGTCGCAGCAAATTCTCTCCTTGCCGTTGTCAGTGGTTTCGGAGCAGTAAACTGCAACACAAAACCCTAAACCCTAAACCCTAAACCCTAGATTTTAAACCCTAAACCCTAAACCCTAAACCCTGAAAAGGTGAATATGTGGCAACACAGCAGTTTGATCGCTCCTTCCTAAACCCTAAACCCTAAACCCTAGCCCGTCCTCCCCAACCCCCAACCCCCAAACCCTAAACCCTAAACCCTAAACCCTAAACCCTAAACCCTAGATAGTGGTTTATACATACTAGCGAGACAACAAGAGCAAATGAAGCAAAGATCAACAGGGTTATGGTGACAGAAGCAAACCCCTGTATTTGTTTTATGGTGTACAGACACCGCAGCAATAGCTGGGCGAAGAGAAGGAGGAGGAAGAAACCAAAAAACTAAAAGCTGTAGTAAAGCTATATCTCCTCGTAAACCCTCTAGGGTTTTGCCAGCTGTATATACACCCGAATCAAAACAAGAAGAAAAAGAAGAACAACGGCCATGGGTTACGTCGCACAGCTGCTCAGGGATTGTCTGCAACACACAACAATATTATATATATATATATATATTCTCGAGGGTTTAGGGTTTAGGGTTTAGGGTTTGGGGTTTGCGGGGGTTATCGGTCTTAGTTTAGAGTATAAAGGTTCGCAGCTAGGGTTTAGGGTTTAGGGTTTGGGGGTTCGGGATTTACAGGGGTTTTGTTTTGTAGTTTAGAGAATAAAGCTTAGGAGCTAGGGTTTAGGGTTTAGGGTTTAGGGTTTTAGGGTTTAGGGTTTAGGGTTTACGACACACCGAACAGTCAGGTAGAAGCGAGCAGCAATCGATAGCCACTCCCTGAGACACACACTCAAACCCTAAACCCTAAACCCTAAACCCTAAACCCTAAACCCTAAACCCTAAACCCTAAACCCTAACATTATGGGGTGTGTGGCGCCCGAACCTTCTCGCCCCAGGCCCTCACCCCTTAAACCCTAAACCCTAAACCCTAAACCCCAAACCCTAAACCCCAAACCTAAACCCCAAACCCTAAACCCCAAACCCTAAACCCTAAACCCTAAACCCTAAACCCTAATTCTTACGAGTTTACTAGCTGCAAAAGCAGTGTTTAGTAGCGCTATATACTGCGACGCATAAAACCCTCGCCGCGACGTATCCAGCAGCAGCACTCGGCTCTCTGCTTCAGGCCCACCCCCCAACCACCGATGCACATCTGCAACAAACCCTAAACCCTAAACCCTAAACCCTAAACCCTAAACCCTAGTGGTGGTGTAATAGGAGGCGAAAGATTAAAACCGCTGGACTTGAGATTCATACTTTACAATAAAAGGGTTTAGGGTTTAGGGTTTATTAGGACATAGGGTTTAGGGTTTGTTTAGAGTTTAGGGTTTAGGGTTTAGGGTTTATTTAGGCTGTACTAGTGTCTCGTTTGGGGTGTATGTATAGCTCGTCTAGGGTTTACATAAGGTCTGTGGTTTACTTATGTTTTCTATACGGCTTTTCTAGGGTTTAGGGTTTAGGGTTTAGGGTTTAGGGTTTAGCTTACAGCATAACGCTATCGAGAGGGCCCCAGCAAGCAGCGACTCGCCTTTGCGGCTACTGCGCTGCTGAGCAGCAGGTGCAGCAGCAGCAGCAGCAGCAGCAGCAGGTGCAGCAGCAGCAGCAGCAGGTGCAGCAGCAGCAGGAGCAGCAGCAGCAGCAGGAGTTGGTTTTTCTATAGCCGTTCCGTCTACCTGCATTCTGCTGCTGGCTGCATCTGCAGCAGCAGGAGCAGCAGCAGCAGCAGCAGCAGCAGCAGGATCCGGCTCAGCAGCAGCAGCAGCAGCAGCAGCAGCAGCAGCAGCAGCAGCAGGAGGTGGTTGTGCTGCTGCAGCAGCAAGAACAAAATCCTTCATCGCCTGCTGCAGAGACACCCCGTTGCTGTCGATGCCTGTCTGCAGCAGCAGCCAATTAGGGGGCTCCATCTCATACAGCAGCTTGCTGCAGCAGCACACACACACTCTGCTGCTGCTGCTGCTGCTGCTGCTGCTGCTGCTGTTGATGATTGTTATGGTGGTTGTGGGGGGGTGGTGATGCTGCTGCTGCTGCTCATAATGGTGTTCTGCTGCTGCTGCTGCTGCTGCTGCTGTAGCAGAGAAGGCAGCAGAAGAAGCCTCAGCCAGCAGCAGCTCCAACAGCAACAACAACAGCAGCAGCAACAACAACAGCAGCAGCAACAACAGCAGCAGCAGCTGCAGCAGCAGCAGCAGCAGCAGCAGCAGCAGCAGCAGGAGACATACGCTGTGTTGGCGTTCATCCCGATGACAGCCAATCGGCTCTGGGGGGCCAGCAGCGCGAGCGCTCGAGCGAAGCGTGTGACAGCACCTGCAGCAGCAGCAGCAGCAGCAGCAGCAGCAGCAGCAACAGCAGCAGCAGCAGCAGCAAGAGTATTATGAGTATAAATATATTTTTAATTAAATTTATTAATATAACTCACCCGATATAAACTCAAGGTATCGAACTAGCGCCAAAACGC